TGAATAAACGTGATGTCATTCCACTGAGAAAACCTCAATATTTTATTGCTAGATTTTTATATTTAGCTGTCCAAAACTTGTTTTTTTTGGGTTATGCATTGTCGCGTAAGTACGTCGCAAACCTAAACGCTCAGCGGCTTCTTCCCCTAGCGACGTCCTAGCAGCAGTGCCATCATTTTTCTAGAAAACGTGGATAATTTGTAACCGGTTCAAAGTGCACTGTTCAATCAACTGCACCACATTACATTGGAAAACAGTTTAAAGTTACAGAACAATGTCTTCTAATAAAATACTTATCGCATAGATCCTATCAACTGTAGTGCTGTGTAGCACATATGCATTGCAAAGAGGCAGCATGAGATCAGGTGTCTTTAAAACTATACCGTTCAGAGTCGAGGTTTCTCAAAAGAAACACCTCGAAGAAATCCCGAAGCACACTGATAAAAAATCAAGCGAGGTACGTATATTCTTTACTCTTAGCGTTTCTTTGAACAAACATGGCACGGCATTCAGGTTGCCTTGCATAAACTGAGGTGGTACGTCGGGCTTCCAGTAAGCTTTTTGAGATCGATGCTTAGACAAAATTTGTTTAAAGACACCAACCCTCATCAGCGCCTCATTGAGGGCAGTGGTATAAAAAGATGTGATAAAGGACAATGTGATAAAAGTCGTGGGGTAAAATCGTGGTGTACCTTATCGTGGAGCAGGAAATAAATAACCGGATTGTAGGCAGTCGATGATTTGGCAAACATGGCGGGTAAAGTGGCGACTAGCGGCGTAACGTATGCACTGTTACCAAACGCAGAGTACAGTGCCAGGATAGCGTAAGGACTCCAGGCTACCATGAATGCGACTATCATCACCACGACCATGATGGTAACTTTCTTCTCCGCTCGCCTGGACTGCCGGTTGCTAACCTGGCACTTGGCCATCTGTGGAGTAACAAGGAACAAAAACGAAGAAGCAGTCATTTGTACATCGAAATGGAACATCCGTTTTTGTTTTTGTTTTTTGCCGGGCATCGGAGTAGTTTCCTTATTCAGTCATTAGTAACAATTGGTGTAACAATTGTTGGTTTGGTTTAATTTGATCTTCATGCAAAGGAATGATAACTTGAACTAAATAGTGTTTTGAAGAAATGACTTTGATCGGAACGATGCGTCTTTGAACCGTAGCCTTAATCAACAGCAACCGATAATAAGGCGAGGAGACTCATGTAAATCAATGTATGTCAACGTATAATGTCAATGGTGCAGCGCTGCTGACATCGACAGGAACGCTTTCCGGTCGTAAAGCTGGAAATGTTCTAAAAGGGGGAGTTAGGACTTCCTGGTTTTCTTTTCGAAGGAACATTTTCTGGCAAAGAAATTTCCATCTCCAGTTCTGTGTGTTATCCCAGCCTTTGGTAATAATACCAATCAATAACAACCTCGATCACTAGCGCACTGGACGGTGAACATATGCATTACCCCTGGGGAATAAATCCCAGGGATGTTATACCCCCCTCCCATTCACACACACTTTTTTGACAGAGGGGTGGGCAACTGGATTACCCACCCCCCTGTTTTAATGGTGAGGTAAAAAAGAGACAAATCTTTTTTGGGAATGGAAATTCCAACCATCCAAATATATTCAATCGTACTGAAAAAAAGGAGAAAAAATACACAAAATTGTATTTCCCCTTGAACAGCGCCCCTTGTGTTCAGCAATTCCTAACCCCCAGCCCCACCTCGTTTTGAATTTCCAGAGCTGGGCAATTTATTTTTTCATTCCATTACCCAACTCCCAGTCCCTGGCTCATATTGAAGCCAATGCATTACCTTCTTGACTGTCACAAGTATTTTGGTGTACGAGAAGACAATGACGGATAGAGGGAGCACCAGGATCATGAAGAAGATGAACAACGTGTAGGAGCGACTTCCCGTCTGCCAATTCACGGAACAAACTGTGGAAGAACGAAACAAAAGACAACGAAGAAATAGGAAGTAGGATGATGCCAGACGAAAGAACAAAAGAAAACACTCGTCACTTGAGGGGGCCAACACCACCCAACAACAGTCACTGGAGAGGGTTCGTAGATCGATTGAGTAAGATAAACTTTGAAATACAGACCCAAGTCAAAAAAATACTCTATCCCCAGCCTACAATATGCACACATCCGGAAAGGATTCTTCATGCGAGATTCTAATGTTTTCCACACCAAATAATTTCTTCATTCACACACATCAGTTTTGCCCATGTCGAATGAATTATGTAAAGTGTTTTTCTATGGTTTGTGTCCATTTGGTTTTTTTTTCTCCAAAAATAAAAAAGCCTCAGACGCGGAGATCACTGGCAATTATTTCCAAGGGTGATTTCAATATAGCGTCAGCCATTCAACGATTACCAAACATGACTGGAAACGAACCAACCACTAGGTAACTACTGGTCCTTGGCCGAATTTGCCCATTAATGTTCATTTTTTGTGCATTGATGAGGGACCACAAAAAATGGCGCACGTTCATTGAACAGTGAATGGGCGTGTATACAGGAACTTTCATTAAGTGCTTTATAGGCAGATCCGACGACTAAAATTAGAAGCCATTACTATCCTGATCGCACGCCGGTGTTGTGCGCCCGTGAAATTCCTCCTTGACCAATAAGCAGTAGTCAATAGCCAAAGTGCGCGCTCAGGTTGAGACAGCGGCGTGAGGGTAAATGGCCCCTTGGAATGGCGTCTCATCGGATTTGTCTATCTGGTTCGTAAGTGAGACGTCACTTCAGTTTAAACCACTCCATCACATGCACTGCACATAGAGTTACATGCATTGATTGCCGTTAAACGTGGAACCAAGGAACTGGAAGTTAACGTGCAACTTCAGCGATTGTCCAATGGGACAACGCTTGCAAATCGTGGTGCGTCAACCTTTGTGACGAAGTCACTTACGAACCGGATACCACTCTAAGTATATGGCTACGCCTGCGCTACGATGTACGAATACGCGTAAGATTACGTGTAATTTAAACTTATGCACGCACGTGCACCACGTTTTGTGGTGGTCACATTACAACAAGCTTCAAGTGGATTCCTTGGAGGAATTCTGAAACCGTTTCATAAGTTAGCAGACTGCCATTTTTATATAAAAAAATATTAAAACATCTTGATATTGAGGCAAAAAAAATGTCATAAGGATTTGTTTACGTGGAAAAGACCACACAGACTTGTACTGAATATCGGGGACCATCTTTGAAAGACCAGCAAGGCGAACGGTTCAAAATGCAGCTTGAACTGCGTGGCTGATGTGCATGTATGTGCATCCGCTATCCTGTTTTTATGTAGAGATCCAGTGTTATGCATGACCATATAATACAAAAGCAATAACTCACGCACATATATAATCAAGATTTTCAGTCCTCTTCTGTCTGTGATTTTGACATGGACTTACTTTTGATGTTTTTGAATCTAACAGGGATTCATCTGACAAACTGATAAATTGATTGAAAGCATCTTTCGGTTAATTGTTATTTATTAGCACGTGTCCCGCTCTTTGTCACATGTAGAGACAACCTCGTTCCCATGGGTACGATCTTGATGCGCCATATTGATTCCCACCATGCCTTGCTCGATTTTAATCTCTGGTATTGTAATTTAAGGCCGTGACCGAAACGAGCTTCCAGAGCTAAGACTAGGTCTACTGTCTGCGCGCCTCCTCCTGTTTCCAATGGAGCGAAGACCTACAATCCTGGACAAATCTCGTTGGAACATGCCTCCCCCCTCGCCCCCTGTCAATGTTGCTTCTCATTGGGTAAGTTGGGCCGAATCTTGGTCCAATAAATGACTGCAATATTGAGCGGGGAGGGGGGGGATCTTTCACAGCGCTTCAAACGAGATGTTCCAACTGTTTTGTCTAGGATTGTAGACCTAGCTCTAGACAATAGATTCGGATGGAGGGCGGATACTTCACTCTCACTTTGGGGGGTTGAGTCAACACGCAGTGAGTGGGCTCTACGCACTGCCGATCTAGTGTTTTTTCTGTATTCATCAGTAAGACTGAGGCGTATTTTGGCGACCTGTACCATGAACATGATTTCAGCTTTGGTAGTAGGTTAAGCGTTTTTCGTGACTTCCGTTGAGCCTGTGTAACGTCATTGTTCCGACCAAACGAGAACCGAAGGTTCGCCAATTCAAAATGGCAAAAAATAAACAGACAATTTTTGTCGCCTTTCAAACATAATTATACATTCCAAAATCTGTTGTTACATGCAGCAAATCAGAGGGGTGTTTTCTTCCGGAAAGTGGAAGCAACAATACGAGCGATTCACAATAGTGCGACCATTTCTAAACGCGCATTGGGTTGAAAGATTTCATGCATCGTGATTGGCCAACGCGTCGCAAACTCTTGGAGGCGCAATATTTTGAAACGCCCGTATTAAGGTTGGCTGCTTCTTGTGCCTTGTATTTGTCATATGACGTATTCATTTTTGGCCACCGCATGTTCCTAAATACTGCTTTAACATCACAAACAGATTTCTGGTTAGAGGTCTCCAAAACACACACTTACTTCCATCATGACATGATTATATCTCTTCCTGACCATTTGATACATTCCTCATTACTCTAGTCAGATAATTGACTAGAGTATTGATTTTCCTTTTAATTTTCAAAACCGAAGGCCAGCAGATAATACGTTACCCACGGAAACAGTGCAATGGATATCTTATTAGCAGGCCGGACAGAAGACAAAAAATAGCGGAACAGGCTGCTACAAGAGTAAAGGGCATTCCCACAGTGTCAAACTCATTTCTGCGGAGAAATGCCCGGACAGCGCGTGTGAAAATGTTTAAGACTCTATGAGGTAACAGATAAAAAGTGATCATTTCATAGGTCACCGAATGAAATTATTCTTGCCCTTGCACGACTGGAAAATATATTCAATATTGGTTTTATACAATATACCTGCATGAATCCATTTCTGTCAGAAGAACAAAATTTATATAAGTCCTGCTCGCCTATTAACGTCCGTCATTTTGCGAAACAGCTTCGTACCGTGCAATGTTAGACTGATTCCGTCTCTACACTACTTTCCTCTCACTAAATGGGAGCTGGAAACAGTCAAGTGAAGTGAGGTTCCAGTCAATGGGTACCATTGAATAAGACGAATAGTTATTTAATGATACGTGATCAACAACATACCAATTATATTACGGGGTTTTATGCAGGTGTTGTATAAAACGCGTTGTCTGAATGTGTCTTTGCATTATCCGTATGTGGTTCGTTAGCAGCTTCGACTCCATGGGCTGCATGCGCGTTAGATCGCGCAAGGCATGGTGGGAACCCGACATGGCGCTGCAAAATTGTACTCATGGGAACGAGGTTCAGGGTGCTGGGAAGGGCTGATGGCCTTGCACAGATTTTAGTGAAGGAAATACGACATACAGGGCCACAGCTAAGGACCCACTGAGCATTGTGGGTACATTTCTGCAAGGCGCGCAAGCTCGCTCAGTCGTCACACAAGTGGCGGTTATAACCTCGCGGTCACAGGTCGTGCACAATGTAACCAATCACAGTGCAAAGTCATCAACCCTTTCCAGCGCCCTGTTCAGGCGATTAGTGACGAGCGAATGTTTGTGACTCCGTCGTACAAGCGCACGCACCACTGACGACAAGTACCCATTGGATGAAACCTCAGATTGCAAGTTAACTTTCTACTAACCGGTTCGTGTAATTCTAGGATATGCAACGGGCGTGGTGTAAACTGAAGTGACGTCACACTTACGAACCGGATGCTACCCACGTACCTGGCGGGGAGTCAGAGACCCCCGAGATTCATAATTATTATGAATTAATGAAGATGGCTCTTCCTTAAAATCAGGATATATGTATAATTGAAACAAATAATTAGTCGCACGTGCTCAGCAAGCCTAAAGGCACCTTTCTATTTTCGCGTCAACACTTACGCCAAGCGTTGCGTATCCGTCAAAATCGCTCCCGAGGCAAATTTGACAGCCGAACGCAACGCACGCGTGTGTTATGTTATGTGTTATGGAATCAATTATTTTTGTATCTGTATAGTGAAACGCATGAACGCATTGTGAACCCAACGCATCTCAAAAAGGTACACTTAGGGTGCGTTCGATTAGCTTACACGCATAAGTCAAACTTATACGAGAACATTCGTTTAGCCATCACGTGATCTTTGTGCCTGCCCTGATGTCAGCCACCACTACCCCGGCGGGTCTCTGGAGGCTGCGCAAGTGTAATGACGTCACCAAAGGACTGTTCGAGCATGGGCATGATGGAACGTGGCAGGGGCTTGACCTTTTCCCCAGAATGCCTTAGCGAATACACTGCAGCGTTCGATTAGCCTCGTTTCGTGGCTTCCCTTGCGTGTATTTAGGGAATACTGGTGTATTCAGGGAAGCTAGATGCCTAAACGTTTATTAACCTCAATGCACATGAGGGGAGTTCCTGCCATTGATCTCCGTTTCAAAATGAAGGTCAATCGTTCCCTGGGAAAGGATCGCCGTCATTAGTTGGAAACACTCCCTGCCTCGTTTCCGCTGTGGGATCAGGTTAATTGACCATAATAACAAAACCCAATGTTACTTCGAATTATCATTTCACAGCTGCGCTCTTCATGAAAAGGTTTCAAGTTTCAAAAAGATCAAACACGGGACAGCTGAAATGTTGCATCCTCGGGGGAGGAGCAATACCTTTCGAAATGCCCGGCTCGTTTATTTTTTTAAAATAGGGACTCCGGCGACGGGACAGAATCGCACGCCACAGATGACCTCACGAAATTTCTAAATGGATAGACACAAAATTACTTCCAGATCGGACAAATAAATTTCATCATTTTCAATTACTAGAATATTGTGAGGAATACGGTTTTACTGAGGACAGAAGAAAAATGGTAGGCCTATCTACATATAATTTACTATTATTCGAAACAATATTACGCGATAAGCCATTAATACGAATGAATACAATCTGGTACACTGGGTTACCTGGATGCACATATATAGCAATTTGAATTCCCCAGACTGAAGCCACTGTTGCTATACCTCGCAGTTCGGGGCAAGCTTTTGCATAGCGACCTCCATCTCTGGAATGGACTGGTTCCTTTGTGTCCTTCTTATCCATTGAAAACAGTGTATTGGTGCAAGGCGTCTCTTATGTAACTATTCAGCAAAAGCTTGCCCCACACCGTCAGGTCTAACAACAGAGATTTAGTATGGAGAATTATAATTGTTATGTTCACTGAATATAATACAACTCAGAGTACCAGAGTTTATTCAAATGTAACTCGCAAAAGGCTTATTGGTTTTTGATCGGCGTTACCATATTTTCAAGAAGTGAATAACTGTGAAGAATTTGTGAATATTTTGAAAGTAAAAGTCTCAGATATTCAATCATTAAGGTAATTCCTCAGTCTGAGGTATAGGAAAGGACAATCTTACATGTTCCTACGCCTTCAGGAACAAACTCACTCCATCCAAGAGCGGGAGGAAGTGCGGCAACTAGAGAATACGCCCATATAAATCCAACACAGACGAGGGCGCCACGGGTCGTCAGTCTCATTGCAACGAATGGTTTAACAACGAAGAAAAACCGCTGTAGGGAGACCGCTGCTATTCCAACGATTTGTGCACATCCTGTTTGGGGTGAAATACACAATGATATAATCGAAGGTTATTAATAAATAAAAAACATGATATTATCTTTTACTTAAAACTGTCACACTATCGTATTCCTTGCGTAGCAAACGTGAGCAAGGAGGACTTTTTTCAACTTTTTTCTGTCAACCATTACTTTTTTCGTCTGCCACAAAGAAGCGTCATCCGATCTAACAGGGCAAAATTGGAGTATAAGTCACCCCAGGGTTTTCTTCAGGGGTTGTTTTTCTTGATTTTTCTCGATTTTCTTTCAAAACTCTGTTCATTTACTAAAAAAGAAAAATTGATGAAGGGTCCACTGCAACTATGGTATTATAATTTGACGCGTTGTCGACCTCAACACATCAGAAGTCACCTTCTTATGAGTTTTGGCAAAATGAAGATTCGCAATAAAATAAAACCCTGCAAAATTCAAAGGGTGTTCGATGTAAAATGCAGCCTCCTGATGGTACGAGCCGAACGACATAGTTGAGTACACAATTTGCACGTAATGCACTTTTTTTCGAAATTGAGAGAATTGGGGGCTAATTTAACTTTGTGTAACAATTCCATAGACTTGCTTCATCTTATGAGTTCACTGCTTTGAGCAAAACTAAGTAAAATGCCATTCACTTCAAACTCTCAAAGCACAGCTCGTGTTCGTTGTCGGGCAAAAAATCCACGTGCCACAGGACGTTCCAAAGTGCGCAGATAATGCACAGGCGAGATGTATATGCAGATAAATAATGGTCCTCCAAAAGTTCATAAATTTCTTTTTCTCATGGCTTTGAGTAGGGTTCGTGGTGGGCACATTTACTTTCAAGTTTGTGTCTCTTTCTCCAACGACGCAAAGCTTACCATTTGTCGAATAAACAACAATTTTATCGTTCAGTGAAGTGACTGTACATGTCTTCGCACTATTGCAACGACACGTACACCCAATTTATGCAGGATCGTATAACCATACACACCTGTGGTTCTTGAGGTGTACGCCGATCAAAAACCGTCCACACTCCGTCAGCGCACATCATAAACACTTTACCAATGAACGTGGCAGCTACCCTTGCAATTTGGCGAGGAAGGACATTTTGATCGGAAAAACAGGAGGTTCAGTGCCTCGAAATTGCAGAATTTGTTCGAGAAAACAGGCTGGATTAATTTGACGCGGGGCTCGACAAGGGAGAACGAGAAAACAAGCTGGCTTAATGTGGCACAGAGCTCGAAAAGGGACAGCCAAGTGGAAAGTGCTGCTCAGTTTAGACAATACCATTGGCTTTAGGGGAAACGGTGAAATGGGGATATGTTCCTGTAAGGTAAATTCCCTTTTTCACAATAAAACTTTAATTGAAACCTTACCCAAATGCTCCCTTAGCCTATCAAATAATTGTATTTTATCAGTAAGTGTTCATGATGCGCTTGGACGTACGGAAGGCGCATTCGCAGCTTTTATTTCATCCAATAAATAGACTTCACCAACAGCTAAACGCATCACAAATATTTTTTGTTTACACCCGTTTACGGTTGTGGTATGAACTCAAATTGCATTTTTTCCAAGCTTGTTGAAAAAAAAAATACATTTCTCTTTTCTCGAGAATGTCATTATCCAGGCTCAAAGATTTCACAGACTGTCTGACCCTACTGTTTACTTACTTTACAGTAAGACATTTGAAGATACTGTGATTCAACAGCCCCATTCCTGAGATTTTACAAAGCGTGTACGCTACCTTTACCCCGATGCCACTTGTGCAAACTGCTAAAATGCGCACTACAACTCAACCGAACGGGAGACGCAGTGTGCATATATGATTTATGGACCATTACTGGGTTCTTCCCTTATATTAAAATAGTAAGTTGAAGGACTTCTGCATTGCGACTACATCGTCAATCTCCCCACCTCGACATTATTATAGCGATTACTGTTGAACTGTTGAATAAACTTATGTATTTAAATTTCTCACATATACAGAAAATGAAATGTATCGTCACCAAAACGTTCATTACGATAGCACAAATCCACATTAATCGCATTGAGTTGTTTGAATAAAAGCCCACTATGGGCCACCCTTTAAGTTGATTAGAGAGCCAAATGCCTCAAGGGTAAAAATATTCCCATTTGGACAGCAGTTCCTGTTATCCGCAGAACAGCTTGTTTTTGCACTGGGACTAAAAAAGGGGAAAATGTTGAAAGTGTGGTGACACTTACCCGAAAAGGTACAAACAAATCCATACCAGGTGCAGCCGGCTGAACCAAAGAGCCAGTGGCCAGCCGCAGTAGATGCAAAGGAGAGCGAAGTTCCCAGCAAGGCCACGTTGATATCGGCCACGCAAACGTTCAGCAAAAAGATGTTGACCACGTTGTGCAACGCACGGTAGCGTGCGTACAGGAAAATCACTGCAGCGTTGCCTACGAAGCTGAGCAGACAGACCACCGCCAGGTATACTGCTAGGCCGGTAAAAGCCGATCGGCTCAGGTATGGCTCACTAAGTTGTGAACCGTTACCCGCAGTCGCAAGCAGGGAGGCGGTAGGGACCGTGGCAGCCATGGGCTCACAAGTTTCCATCGGGCTGCTCACAAAGTGTCACGGAAAAGAGAACTACAAGAAGAAAGCGGGGTTTCTACCAGCAAGTGTCCCTGCGATGCCCAGGCTTTTAAATTGGTATCACGTGCTCAGTCATGTGCATAATTCTCAAAACAGCTGTTCGGAATGTTTTTTTTTTTTTGGTTGAATGCATGTTTTTTCGCTTTACATACGTTCCGTTCCCAGACACGTCGAATCTTACTTTAGAGCTCACTTTCAGTGCCACATGCCATAGGCAGAACATAAGTTGTTGTTCAATGATTTCACTGTGATGTTTGCAGGATGTTGCGACTGCCTCTTGCACATAGACGGGAACCCGATCCTTTTAAGAATTATGCAGCCTGAAAGTTGAGCCCCTGCTGGCGCGCTTGTGGAATCCTTGAATTGGAAAATAACCTATAATTAGCAATGATTTTGTTCGTTCGTGCGCTACTTAAAAAAAATCACCTCCGGAAAGAGACCCCTGGTAATTACGTCCTGGCTTATTAATTTATGAAAATGAAAAATGCCGATACTAAAAGAGAAATATCCTGTAAACTTGACTTCTATCTCCGAAAATCTATAATACATGACGACTCGTGGAGCTCGGTCTTCTCGTAGGCCTACGTACTTAAAAATTTATATACTCATTTCGTGGTGACCTGTATTTCTTTCTTCTTTATACTGGGGAACCCATTCACGTTATAAAGATTGCTCTCCCATAGGTTCCAGTTCACAATATTCAAAAGCGATAAGAAATATCCATTAAGACAAAGCACTGAAGGTTTTAAAATTATAAACATCTATGACAGTGTATATAAAAACTACTGGCCAAGAGGTACGGAAAATTAATTATAGCCACTAAAACATAAATAGCAATAAAGATTGAACCAGCTCAGGAAATGGGCAGGACAGTGACATAAATTAAAGATTTATATATAAGTACATGTGAATATACATTAAATCAATGTTAATAAAGAACCGAGAAAATACTTAAAGACTTTGGGAGAGATGCTTTTAAAAAATGTTAAAACTTGCTGGAAGAGGATGCTTAAATGAGAAAGGCAGTTTGTTCCAGGATTGCATGCCCGAAATTGAAAAGTTCGTTTACCTTTTTCTATTCTTGGGCAAGGAAGACAAAGATTCCCTACAACGTAATGCTTAGTTCGGTAGGAGTGTTGATCACTAACATAAGAAAACAGTCTACAGAGGTATTCCGGAGCCATACCACTTAAACATTTATACACAATTTCATTAAGATGGCATTCACATCTAACATTTCGGCTATCCCATCCCAATTTGTTATATACAAATGAGCTTGATGTTATTGGAGCGACCTTCAAAATAACACGCCCAGCCTGATTTAACAATAAATACATCGACATGAGGCATATGTGTTTTTGCAGCACGGCCCCAAACAAGGTCACAACAATCAAATTGTGTAAAGATAAACGACTTGACAGGAAGGAAAATGTCCTCATGGACAAATATTCCGAACACCCTGCAAGATCTGAACTGTTTTTGATACGGAAGACTCAACATGTTCAAAATGTTCATTTCGTTGAAGTTTGGAATCAGGATCACACCAAGATAATCGATATGTGAAACTTGTTCCAGGTTACTGCTAGTAAGAACAATCTCAATATTGGTCCTGCGGCGTCTGGCTAGCTTTTGGCAAGACCCGAACAACCTGTTCTTACGTTTAGCTAGATTAAGACAACTCGTTGTTTTCAAGCTAGGTCATTATTCTTTAGATGCCATCGTTTAAACGATGCTCAATTTCCCAGATACCTTTACCCGGGTAAAAACAATAGCTGTATAATCAGCATAAAGGGTAACCTTGGAATGGTAAATGACAGTCCGAAAATTATTACCATAAACAAGAACAAGCAATTAGCCCAGAATATAATATCCCGTGGAACTCCAAAATGAACCAACTGTGAATCACCATGGTGACCTGCTTTCTCTGAGAAAGGTAAGAGCTAAACCACTCAAATTCCCATTCACTCACGCCCATAGAATGCAGTTTGTTGGGTTTTTTTTAGTACGATTGTGTGGGTGACTGTACCAAACGCCTCACGGAAGTCGAGAAAAACAGCTCCAGTAATAGTTTTCCTGAATCAGCGGCATTTAACAAAAAATCGGAAACGTCAATTAATGCCGTGTGTGTTAAATGAAGAGGTCGAAACCAGACCAGATTTAAAATCATTTTTTAAAACATAGTCCAATCTATATTAGGACCATTAGCGTACCTTAGTAGACCTCGAGGTAGCTTGGCAAGATCCTGCCTGCGAAGTTCATCATCCAAATTCCTGAATGAGCGGGCACAAATGAAGTCGTGCCACATTGGAA